ATTTTTCTATCATAATAAATCCTCTGGTGCCCTGTGAAACACGCTGTCCGACAACGCCACAGAGGAGGAGGGAAAGCGATCGATAAGGCCATCATTTTGAAAACATTGTGAGGTGCAGCCGTGGTAGCAAGCTGCTCTTTGTTTTTTTTGTACTGTTGCAGCTTTTATTTTGAAATCATCCCCCTCTTTCTTACTCTCTGTTAGCCGAACACAGCGTTAGTTACATTCTTCAAAGGAAATAATACAAGTCTACGACAGGACTCTGTTTTACAGACTTCTGTCAAACCGCGGCCTAAAAAGGTGCTTTTTTTTTTTTTTTTTTTAGGGGAAAAGCGAAGCAGGTCGATCAGAAACCAGCAAACTGAGACACACATGGGCGCTTTTTTTTTTTTTTTTTTTAGGGGAAAAGCGAAGCAGGTCGATCAGAAACCAGCAAACTGAGACACACATGGGCGCTGACATTCACATGCACATACGTATATACATGCACAGCCTCGGTTTGAGCCATGCCAACCCTTCGGTACATCACAAAGTTGAGCAGAAAGAACACTGAAATAGAACAGGCCTGTGGATGCAGGAACAAAGCCAGTTCCTTTTGCCCCCCCAACCCGCCCGGGTGGATGATGCCTGGCTTGGATGGGAGCCATGTGCTGCTGTATGTACACCATCAGCCAACTGGGTGAGGGAGAGCTGGATATTGCTGCTGGCACTTTGACCGCGAAAAAGGGAGAAAGTGCAAAAGACTAGATGTCGGTAAGGGCTGAATTTTGTTTTTTTTTTTGCACATTCTGGCATATGATGTGTCTATGAGGAAAAGTCGAAATGTGATTTGTTTTAGGATCAAATGCTCAGGCAGGATGTTAGAAATAAAAATAAGCTGACCTGAATGAAAACAGAAGGAAACCAAAATGTTTTCTTTTAATGTGCAAGCCATTTCTGCCAGGAAAATTAACCTGATGCCACATTAGAAAATATAAAACTGCTCAGAAAATCGCAAGATTGTGACTAAAAATGTCAAAATTTAGACACGTATTAAAGTATTTGGGCATTTAAAGTCAAAAACATGACACAATTATGAGATTGCAATTTAAAGTTAAGACGCTAAATGCAAAATGTGACTTTCAGAATCCAAATTAAATAATTTTAAGTCATGATTTAGAAATATGACAATAAAATAAGTATACTCATGCAAAAATGTAATTACGGAAACCAAATATGCACAAAATTATGAGGCAATAAATTACAATGTCACTTGTGACATAAAAAAAGTCAAGTTTAGCCTAATTTTTTCCTTTGACTTTTGTCATGCTCTGAATTTTCTACGATAAAAATAAGTATACTCGTGCAACATTCTAAATTAGGAGGCCAAATACGTGCAAAATTATACTTTTCAGGTGAAAATCTTGAGGAAATCATGAATTGAAATGTCATAATTTTGACACAAAGAAGTCAAACGTTGGGCTTAACATCTGTCTCCTGCAAAAATCTAAATCACAGCAGCCAATTATTTCAAAATGTTTGAAAATTGCAAAGAAAGAATTGAAATTTTAACCTAATTTTGACACTAAAAAAGTTTGACTCAATATCGCTGGATGTATTTTTTGTCATTCTTAACATTTTCTTTTTTTTTTTTTCCTGGCACAAATGGGCTTCCATACAATGGTGCACAAAACCCAAATGACCCACAAACACTCCCACCTGAACAAAACCGACAGACAGACAGACGCTTTCCCACCTCTACACGTTTGTTTTCATTTAGGGTTTAAAAAAAAAAAAGCAACGAGGGCCTGATTCTTCTGGTTCCAATTCGTTTTTGTGGTTTTTTTTGAGCAACCTGATTTTCTAGACATTTTTTAAACTGGACCAAAACACAGAACAGAAAAAAAAAAACGTACATCATCGGTGATTGCAAATTGAGAAGACGAAAAAAAGATGAGCTAACAATGGGTTTTCATCTAAGGTTCATCATCATTTATTAGAAAATGTTCTTTTTACCTGAGAGAATCCTTCAATAGCTTCCTTTACCCAGTCACAAGAAGTGGTCTGTGTTTGTGTGTGTGCATGTTTGTGTGTGTGCGTCTGGACCGACTGGATTTTTTTTGTCGATGCTCTCGTCGGCGGTCGTGTTTTTTTTTTTCCCCACAAAAAGAAAAAAAAAAGATCCGATTAGACGACAAACACGCCACAAGGTTCAATCCCTCACTTATTGCACTTGATTGAAAAAATAATTGTAAACTTTATAATTAAATGGCTTCGCCTAGAGGGCCGAGCCCTGTTTGTTTTTTGGGTTAAACTAATTTAAAAAAAAGAAAAGAAAAAAAAAAGACATTAAATGGTGCAAAAGGCATTTGGCATGGGTGCAATTTATATATATTTTTATCTCGTTATAATTAATACTACCAAGATTTTTGGGCATTTGGGCCGTTCAAAGTGCTTTCTAGTTAAGTGCTCATGTAAAATTGATGGTCAGCAGCTTCTAGCTGCTCATTTTAGCTAATTTTTATTTTATTTTTTTTTACATTTTTGCGATTGCAAATAAGGTCAAACCCTGGGAAGGGGTTCAGTAAACTTGCAACATCCGAACATTAAGCGCTATAGTAATCTAACGGTACATTAACTTGGTCGCGGGACATAAAGGCTTCAAGGGCTGAATTTAAGGGGCTTCATCATCGATTTGTGGCCACCGAACGACGAGAGCATCGAGTCAAACGCCCCCCCGACGTCCAAACAACACACACATACATACGCACACACCACTTTTCTGAGCAGTTTACAAAAAACAGCACATCTCGTAGAATCCTTGTTCTCCACAACATCCCCAGTAAAGCCCTCCTACTTCTTCTGAGGGACCCGGACTGCCGTGAAGACTCGCTGAGCCTCGGGACCAGCCGCGAGAGCCGGGCTTCAAGTCCAGCTCACCCCCCCGAAAGAGTCCGGGCCCGTCGCCCACACAAAGTAGCAAGGGTCTTTGGGTCATGCAAAGAACCTCTGGAAACTCAAGCCGGGCCGAATTTGATTTTGCGTGAGCGAGAAACCGAGCTCCTTGTTGGTACAGCGAGCCCCGCCTTTTATCGGAGGGATTTTAGTTTTTTTTAGGAGGGAAATTGCATAGACATCTTGCTACTTGCATGTCGTCTTAAACAAAACTCTACATTTGGCATAAGGGGGGGACCAAACACAACCATGAAAACCAAAAAAGACATTACAGACAAATCTCCACCCTTGTCCAATGTGTCAACATGTGAGAATAAACCAGGATCTGTGCAGCTCCGTGTAGAAACCGGCCTCGGGAACCTCATTTTTCGTGTTCAAAGTTACTTTCAGATACACGCGTCTCCATTTGAGGATCCCACTTGCGCTTCATTTCAGGCGTTTTTTTTTTTTGGTGCAAATTGGATCCCGTAAAAGCTGAATTTGAACCTGATCTGAATGCTCGGGTCACATTCTCGCCAGAAACGTAAGCAACCTTTTACTCCCAGAATTACCTGCAGGAGTAGCCGCACGCTTCGAGGTTTGGAGGCTGGTTTCGGCGGAGCTCGTGAGGTCGTGGACATTTTCCATCTGAGGACTATACGATGTGTAGCAGCCAGGTTAGCCGGCATTCACGCCAAAATAAGAAACCTGCTTATGTTCTATTCATATCTCCCTCTCCCACCTCCCACTTTACTCAATAAAGCATCTATCTCTTTGCAAACAAGAGGAGGCACAGGGTTCATGATTAATGTCACGGGGCACTTTTTGAGTATGGATCTGCATGCACATGTGAGAGGGTGCACACATAGAAAATGTAACAAGCATTACACATTTCTTTGCTTAATTTTTTTTGTCTTTTTT